TATGAAGCTGATGCGATCATATATGACCCTGTTTCATGGAACAATTTGAGTCTGTTTTATTGGAAATTACCTTGTTTCATTGAAAAATTTGAGCTTGTTTCATTGGAAATTATTCTACATTTTTTAAAATGTAGCGATTTTTTTCAAAAAATTTAATGGATACCTCAATTAAATCTTTGCTAATATTGTACTAATCAATATATCATCCATATTTATGTAAATATTATATCGTTACCAAACTAATCTATTAATATTAAATAATTACCAAACATAACTATTGTAAATTCAAGTGACCATAATATCCTTATAAATTAAAAAAAGGAAAACAAGTGGATTTATGTGATTGATTGTAATTAGTTTGTAAGGTTTGTGCAAATTGGGACGATTTACATTTGATCGCTCCTCTATTTATAAGAGCGATTAAATGCAAACCACCTATATTTGTACAAACCATGCAAACCACCCTCATCCGTCGATTTCATTGTTTAATCTTATGAAATTGTTTCATATAATACTTTTTTTTATGAAGTTGTTTCATATATTGTTATGAAATTTTAATGAAAATATTTCTTGTATTTATCTAAAATTAATATAAAGAAGATGATAATATCCATGATTAACACTATCCACAATAAAGATGATTAATCAATCTCTTATAATTACAAAAAAAAAAAAAAATGAACAATTATGATTGGTTAAATGAGGTTTGTACGGTTTATACAAATAACGTGATTTGCAAAGTAAACCTCCTCCTCCTCCTCTCTCTCTCTCTATATATATATATACACACACACACACACACATACATACATACATACATACACATACACACACACATACATACACACACATACATACATACATACATACATACATACATACATACATACATACATACATACATACATACATACATACATACATACATACATACATACATACATACACACACATATATCTTAGACATATCAAACCTTAAAAATCATATAAACATTTGTTTACAAATAACCATCAAGTTAATAAAATTCCCATTTTATCAACAAATCCAAACATATGAACTTTATAAGTTTAAGTTCCAAAATTCGAGAAGACATTGAAATAATCATCCTCTATGTATCAAAAACACATTCCCACACTTGTTTTATCAAACGGTACAAAATCCCCAAAACTCCCAATTTTGACCTAGTTAGTCCAAAATCACCCATATATTTAATAGATGAACCCACAATAGTAGGTTTTGAACAAAACTTAGAAACGAAGTGAAATGATGAGAAAAAGGAGATCTTAAAGCTTTAGCCACTTCTAGCCTTGAATCCTTGCTCCTTGTTGACTTTAAATGCTCCAACAACTAGCAAAAGGAGGTTCAATGAACCCTAGGTCCGAAATAAATGAAGATGGAGTAGTAAACAGGGTTTGGTGAGGTGTAAATGAACTTAATCTAGCACATTTAATACGCAGATGGACGTCCACAACCCTGACATGCGACCCTAGGGTCACGGATCAAGAATCGCCTTGTCCAAGGCCCCCCACTTACGGTACGCCAGATGCGACTGTGGCTCAAGACGTAAGGGTTGCATGTTGTGAAGGTCGCATGTGCTAGAATCCCAAACTTACGGTACATAATACAACCGTGGTTGTGCAATGCTAGGGTCGCAAATCACAAGGGTCGCACATGCCTAACAAGCCTGATACCTCACATACTTAGAAAACAAAACATGGCTTAACTTGAAAGTGTTCCTTAACAACACCAAAAATGGATGTATGAACCAAAATTAAAGTGTAACATTAAATCAAGATTTTATCATAATCTGTTAGTTACATTACAGATCTCCGAGTGTTACATGAACCCGCGAGAAAAAGTCACCCATGCAGGCTATATCTGTGCACCATTTGTTGGGGATTTTAGTGTCATCAATCATTTTGGTGTAATTGTGATTTACTTGAGATCGATTGAAGTGATAAGGAAAACAAATTATACTAGGAGATGCAGAGTGCATACTTATAAATGTTGTCCTTATCACTTTATATCACCGAAAGGTAGTGGTCAAGGGGGTCGCACCTTCTTGCGGGGTCCTAGGGTAGTGTAATGAAAAATCTAGCACTCTTGATTAGAGTTCTAATTTTAGGAAACATTGAATAGTCATACATAGTAATTTCATGTTTAGGAATGATCTGAACTAATTTTAGGAGGTTGGAAACCTCTGAAATTTCTCTCGAACTTAGTGGAATTTTACCAAGTACAGACCCAAGGTAGTGTAAAGAAAAATCTAGCACTCTTGATTAGAGTTCTGAGTTGTCGCTGAAAATTCTAAGTCTGGACTAGAGTTAGACCAATCAGAGTTCTAAACTATGGAACCAATGTTCTGGTCCATATAATTAGATTTCTGATTCGAAAAACTTGACTAAGTCTTATTATAGTACAACCAGAGTTCGGTCAATAGAACCAGAGTTCTAGGCCATGGAACCAGAGCTATGGATGTCATCTTTGATTCTTATATAA